GAGCAGACTCTGCTCTGAGACAACTTATCTTAAATCAGATACCTTGTTTATAATTCAGCACCTTAAAATTGCTAAATATTATAGACATGGACTTGCATGCATTTGTGCAGTTGAATGTTGCTTGTCCGAACGTGTATTATTTTTAAGCAGCTAGCACAGCTAAATTCATGTCAGTATTTCCTGCAAAGATGAGAAAACACAGTGGATTTTGCCCTATAGCAGGACCCAGATTGGCTGAAGACAGAGATATCAGTTACATATATATGTAATTTTTTCCTCTGTGTAGTAACACTCACCATTTGGCTTTGGCATTGGAGAGGCAGTGTGGAACTCGGGCTCCTAGCTTGGCAGTGTGGATGTGAATGCTGAGTATCAGTGCCATTAAAGTTATTAAAACTTCCTCTTGGGTAGAGGTGTGGGGAGGGAGTTGTTCTGTTTATGTCTAAAGAACGTCTGAAGGAAGGGGGCATTCATATTTTCCATACAAACATGAAAAAATGCTGAGAAATAATTGTAGGTAGCTCTAACTAAACTGTAGTTATGCTATTTTCTAAAATGCAGTTAGCATATGGAAAACTGCCAGATACATTTATAAGCTGGCATTTTGTCTACTTGATTAAAAATGCAACCGTACTTTACAGATCTCTTATCTACTTCTATTCCTCTGTACTAGTAGGAATGGGAAAAGTGCTGAAAGTAAACGCTGTTGTTCAGAAGTTACGTTTTATTAACAGATCAAGTTTCACTCTTAAAATATATGTAAATCTCCTCACTCACAACTAGTGTAGTTACCTCTCTGTAGTGTCCTGCAGGTGAGCGATCCATATGTTCTGTGTCAAAATGAGCCAGCCTAGAAAAGGATAAGTTTGGAAAAAAACTTCCCCTAAAGCTGGAAAAATGCAAAGGCCGGTGCTGAAAGGCCGGGAGGATCCCTGTGGGCGCAGGCAGAGCAGCAGCTGCCGCCGCGTGCGGGTCCCTTTGCAGGGCGAGTGGCTCTGCCCTAAGATCACGGCTGCACAGTGCGCGAGGAGGGTGGTTTGTTGGGTTTGGTTTTTAACTCCTGGAAATATATTGCTTCTGCAGCAGTGGGCAGTATTTAGAAGCTTGAACGGCGCATCCCAACCTGGTTTTCCATAGGAAAAAAAAATGCTATTAGAAAGGAGAGGGATACGAGTAAGTGTTGTCTGGAAAGAAGTTAGCATTCTACTATAGCTGCAGCTTATATAAAATTGCATATAATTTAATATATATTTAATGTGTTAGTCACATGATAGGAAACATTATTTTAGCTAGACAAATGAACGTAATAACAATAGTTGCCAATAAATACTTTAAATATATTTTAGCTATAAATCAAGTGGCAAAACTCAGATTGCCTATTAATCCAATGCAGAAGTCTACCTATGCTCTAGAAAAAAATAGCAAAAAATCTTGTTATGACATAAATCTGAAAGCTTAAAATAAATGAAGAAAATAAACCAATGTGGCCCGTCACTAGAAACACCCTTCTTTTTCTAGCAGAGGTGATCTGCACAAGGTGAGATTGCTGTTTCCATTCAAAGCCTGACAAGCACAAATAGGAATGTATGTGAGAGAACATTTGAGATTTACAAAATACTATTCTGATATCCTTTTTATCTCAAAGTTAAGACTTCCAATTTCATTTTTCTCTGTCCATATATCCCTGAATAAAGTGAAGGACAAACAAAAATATCCTTTTTTTTTGTTGTCTGAATCAAGTATTTACCTACCTGATGTTAATCAGGGACGCAAGCATTTGCATTAATACCTGAAAAGAGGAAAATATCCTGTTCGTTCAGGTTTCAGAGAATTCTGTAATGACTAGTTACAGAATTTGGAGAGTATTAGTAAGTTTGATTCCTTCAGCAGCTGATGAGATGTTTTTAATTGCGGAGAGCAAGATCCCTCAGATAAAATGTTAGCTACTTATAGACCAAGAATTTCACTGCTGCCTGTCACCCTCTATTGAAATTTGTAACATGAAGCAACTGGCTAACTTCTGCTGGGGGGAAAAATGACAGGCTCAGGGTATCCCCTCCATGGACTTCCAAAGGTAGCAATTTGGGTGTTACTGCTGCATTTTGTTGCCTGCAGACCTGCACTGCATAATTCTATTTCCTGTGCTTAACATCACAGCTGCCTTGTTTTATAGAAACATACGCTAGATATTCAAACAGGTTCTGGCTTGTCTTGTTGCTGTTGAAGCTCCCTAACAGATCTGTCTGAGGGGCATGAGCTGCTGAGAATGAAAGCAGGGCTGAAGTGAGGAGATGCTCAAGTAAGAACAGCAGTCAAACTCGGGCCCTTTGCTGTAACATCCCCCCAGGGCACCTTGAAATACCATTTCAGGTAGTTGGGGACATATTTTCTGCACAGAACTGGAGGAAAGTTGATCTTTATTCAGTCTTAAAATGGAAAATTTAGTGGCAATTTACTGTTAACATTATGCTTTTTCTCAGTGGTTTGCTGTTTTGCAGGTGTCAGAAACCTGTATAAAGATTTTTAGTTTTCCCTTCTATTTTATCTTTTTTTTTTATGTCTCAATCTATTGCTGTAGAACATCTCCTTTAAGACTCAGTTATGTATTTGATTCATTAGTACTTTGGAACACTGAAAATACAAGCGCCACGCAGTTCAATTTGCAGTTTTAAGCTGTCAGTGCTCCTTGATATTTTTATGTGTATAAGTCTTACTTCAAATTGTCTAATTTTAATGCTGTATGGGAAAAGTCCCTGTGACAAACATTTTGGAAAATCATAGTAATGCTTTCGTCTTTAGAGAACTGTCATGTTGTTGTCACGTTGATCCTTAGCACATGAAAATAATACCTGCTTCAAAACATGTCAGATAAACACTACACCTAGTGTTTTTTATATAGAACTTCAGTATCACGAAGTTCTTGCTGAAAATCTACAATCTCAAATTGATAATTAGCGAAGTGACTACGTATGTTTTTTTCTAAAATGTAATCTAGTAGCTTGTTTGCTGCCTCTCAGTTATTTAAACATTGCCCTATAAGCAGCAGTGATTGGTAATACAACATGCCCCTCACATTCCTTCTCTTCCCAAAACGAGAAAAGCTCAAGGGTTGTTTGCAGTGAAATCTACCATGGAAGTCTGGATGGTCAAAAACTAAACTGAGCATTACCTGACTGGGTCCTGTCTGGTTTCTGGTTCTGTTGTTGTGTAGAAAATGCCTGAATAGCAGCTGAAGTCCCAGGGGGCTCTGATTACTGGTTCAGGAAGTAGGTGAAATAGCTGGTAATATCCCACTTATGAGCAGAAGAACTTTTAGAATTATTAAAATTTCAGGACAGTTCTTTGCAAAAACCATCTCAAATGTGTCCTGGTTGACTTTTTTTTTTTAATGGCAGAACTACTTTGTAACAATCAACAAATGTAATCACTGTAATTTTTAGGGTGTTTCAGCAGTTTTAAATTCCAATATTTACTTCGGCTTTTCTCAAGTACAATAAAAATTCAGCTTTTGACTCTTTGACAACAATAACAAGCAGTAACAAATTGTTATTGATGATCAATCAATGCAGTGATCTGCTCTATGCAAAATTTCTGAATAAATAAATATTTCTTTACCACTTTTCAGCAACTAGCTGCAATATCATTTGCTTCTAAAATTTGATTAGCATTAAGAACAATGGCTTAAAAATAACTATGACTAAAGTTGGTTTGGTTTTGAATTAGTTAAAAATATTACTTTATCTTTTTATCTAGTAGATACTTATATAAAAATATCCCAAAGTTACAACATTAAGTCTGTCAAAAGTCAAGTGTCTCAAATGTTTGTATGATCTTAAAGCTCTCAATAAAACTTGAGGCTGAAGCTATTAAACCGAGGAGGTAAATACTTTCCAGAGGTGACTGAAAAATAAGACTTTTTTTACATCTAAGAAAATATACAAAATGACAGGTCAAGCTAGTCGTATGAAAACTTATGTTTTGTATGCAATATTCCATTTCCACTACTCAAGCTCAAAGAATCCTTTCATGTTATTTTTTAATCAAACCCTTCCTCCATCAAGTGTCAATAGAAAAAAACTGCTCAATATAAGGTGCATTCTGAGCTCTGCCAAACAATGCTTTAATTAAAAATTGCTTCTCTTCAGGAAGAGAATACCAAGCTGTAGTTAAGCAGACCTTCATAATCGTGTGGATTTCTTTTTCTGCAAATTATTAGTGGCACAAAATAAGGCCCTGTTCTTGTCAGCCCTGTAGCAGTGACAGCCTGGCTGGGTCTGCCTCCCTGCGCGCAGCTCTCCCTCACACTCCAAACACTCGACAGCGGGGTCAGTAACCTCCTCCTCTTCGTTGTATGGCAGGTAAGTGGGAGTGTTCCAGAGAAGAGTGAACAGGTTCCTTTTGTTTCTCAGACTGTTGAGGAAACAATAAAAGTTTTAAATGTATTGGGTGAGTTACATACTGCTCTATTTTAATGAGTAAGTTAGAGTCTGTATGTTGTTATTTGATCCAATACATTTAACAGGGGTTTCCTCACTTCTCACAGGTGCAGCTAAAACTGAATATGAATTGGGAGTAGGGTAGGGAGTCAATTTGGCTACTCAAGAAAGATTAAAGTTTTGCAAATCTGCACAGGGAGGTCTACAGTGTCTTCCTCCTCTGGCCTTTCCTAGGAGAATGCTTTTAAAATAAATACTATTCAGTTTCTTTCCGAGAACCCTGCTAAACTCCAATTCTTTTTTTTTTTTTTTTTTTAGGGTAATATAGATATATTAGTAGCTAGTATTCCACTGGATGTTTATTAGAACTTTTGCCTAAACAACTTCTTACAAAGCTTATGTAGGTGAACTCTATAACTTAAATTGGTGAAAGAAATTTCAAGGAGCGGATTTGATGCTTTTCAGGTTAATTACATGGCAGAAAGACATTAGGAATTCTTTTGCTTCTGTGATCTGTTTTCTTTTAGTTGCCCAAAATTTTAATCGGATCTTAATGTGCTCATTTCAAGTTCCAAATATAAATTCAGGTTTTTCCTGACTATCATCTGAATACATGATAACTAACTAAAAAACAAATTAAAAAAAATCCAAACGCAAACTTATTTCTTCAAAGTACCATGTGAAACCCTGAAAAAACAAGCAAAGAAAAACAAAATGACAAAAACTTCTATCTCTGATAGAACTTGATCTGTGAAACCCTTTCCCCTGCCCCTTCTTTGTAACTTCAGTGGTACATGAAGGAGAAAGGATAATGAACTCTTAAAAGCTGTGGAACTGACCCCTTGACTAACCACAACTGGAACAACTCTCTAGGGAAGGACTCACGGAGGTTTCACAGCTCTTGAGTTCAAACTCTTGTGTTTCAGGGCCAGTGTGTGGATGTGAGGGGCTGCATCAAACCCAGTAAAGATCAGTGTCTATACAGACTGAATGAAACTCATTAATCAACTTAAGTTAAACATTTTTTTTGTAGTTAACAGTGTCACTAATTACTTTTTCTAAAGGAGTTGACCATTCTTCCATGGAAATATTACCTGTCTTTGCCTTTCCTTTGGAATTTGCCACAAATGCAGAGGTTCTTGCCCTGCAGGATTTCCTAGTAATCTTACTTTTTTGTGCATGGCCAAAGCTGGTTTATCAGCTGCCCTAAAATTTTTAGAAAAACAAAACAAAGCACAAATTCTTTTAGGTGAAGTTAGGATTCAGGTAAAGCAAATTTCATAGCAGAAACTGAAATTTCAAAGTAAGCTTCACTTCAGTCCACTCTACATAATAAATACACAGTATTCTCCCCCTGACCCTGCCACTTTTTAATTTTAATTTTTAAAATTGAAATCACTTGCCAGAGTTCTTGAAAATAAGGATGCTGCAATGCTTGATGGGCAGCAATTCTCTCATCAGGATCGTATTTTATCATTGCACACAGGAGAGAGAAGCCTTTGGGAGACAAATTCGGCACAAGAGGAGGTATTCCTGTTCCTTTTTTAAAGGGAAAATCAAAACTTATAATTCTTGACCTGTGTTAAGCAAGTTGAGAACAAAGAGTTATTCATGGATACTCAGAAAGAATTGTATTTTACTAGGAAGTGTTGTTCTAATCTGATGTAGGTGACTGCTTTCTAGGGAAAAGTAAATAGTGGGGAAATCTTCCACAGTAAATACGGGAAAAAAAAATCTTCCCTATTTATATCATCATTTATATAAGCATAATATAGAATTAAAATGCCAGGTGAGCTTTCTATAGATCAGATTTCGTCTTTAGGAAAGCCATTAGATTTATACTGTGGGTATATACAAACAGAGATGAGTAACTGTGATAGTCCATACTTACTGCTTGAATTTATTGAGAGTTTTTTTAGCAGGAGTACCTACAATGTCATGGATTTTTGATATTTGGTCCAGCTCATTAGATCCAGGAAAGAGAGGCTGTAAACTGCAAGAAGAGATATTAGCGCTATAGACCACATGACTGGGCAAGTTTAAGTGGCACAAGGACGGGAAGATTTGGGATTATTCACTTGCAGACAGTTTAATACCAGATAACTGAAAGATAACATGTGAGTAGAAGGTTAATGCAATTCTACTTTTTGATAGAAAGGGCAATGTGGGTTATTAAAAAGAAACCTGTAGTTAGCCTATGCTCACAAATTCAGGGTAAGATACATAAGAAGAACATCCCCAATGCTGAAATATACTGGATATGGGATTAGGCTAGTGAAGCCGCAGGCGCCAGGACTCAGGTTTTCCTCCTTTTAAGGCAGCAGAAGTGAGCAGCTGTATATGCACATATAAATGTATATTTATAAGAAAAGCTCCATGCTTAACACAGTTGTCTTTGTGAGCAACAATACTGCAAAGATGGTAATTTCAGCTGCACTCCTGAGCTTGACCTTCGGCATAAAGTTATAGTTTTTTTTTTTAATGCAGCACTCTGGTTTAAGGTAGGTGCACTATCTTCTTGCCTATTTTGCCTTTTTCAATATTAGGTAAGTATGGCCGAGTAAAGATTAAAAAACACTTTTAAACTCATGTTTTAAGTCTTACTTAAATGTTCAACAGCAAAAAAATGACAAGATACATGGGAGAAAACTGAAAATCTGTCCATAGCTTTTCTTATCTTGGCAAATCTGTTTCTTTTTAAATGTAGTTATTTCCAACTCACATTCCTTATTTCTCTTTTCTATAAGAATCATGAATACATCTGTCAGGTCACTGAAAGTGTGCAGTAGTTGCAAATCTGTTAGGTGATGCAAAAACTGTGATTCATATCTATGTATTTTTGCCCCCCAAAACTGTAAAGTTGTAGGATGTCATTTTCTTGCAAAACCTCAAAGTCCACCTGATTCTCATTGCAATGGACAGATGACATTCTTAAAGCTTCCCCAGTTTACTTCGTAAGAGAACTGCCACATTCGAGAACTTTCTGCTAACAGTTTTCTGACCAAGGTGAAACTGTTTGTACAAGTTGGCAGCCAAAGCACACGAGTTGTCACTTAATGTGCTGGTGATGGCAGCAGCTGCACTTGCCATGTGGAGGAGGAGGATGGAAGCAAAGCAAATGTTGCCACTGCTGCCTGCGCATGGGAGGCAGCAGCGTGGGAGGAGAGCAGAGCAGAACTGCTGCTGTTGCTAGGGCACAAAGATGTTGAAGAAATGCTTACGGTGGTTATTTTTTCCTTTTTCTCTTAAAAACCAAATACGATTTGCTTTTTGAGTTATAGTTTTTACACCTTTGAAAAACTTAAATAAAGGACTTTATTACAGGTTTTCTTGAACTCTCTGATTAGATCCCAGCTTCAGAGTATTCCAGGAAATAAGGTAAGAGGACAAGGTTCTAGAACACACCGTTCTATAAACCATTCTAGTAACTCACAGAGGTGCTCTTCTCTAGACTCCTCTGTTGCTGCAAAAGAGTAAGTGAACAACAGAGGAAAAAAATAATCATAAAGTAGATTAAAAAGATTGAGCCATGCTCATAACAGGAAGCAAGTCCTGTTGTATAAATTCAGAGATCACGTAGACCAAAGGACGTTTTTACCACACTTCACTGTGAAGCCAGTGAAACACTGTCCCAACAGTTACGGTCCCATTATACACTGTATGATTCATACTATTTTCTCTTGACTTCTTACTGCTTTATTATTAACCTGCCATGAAGTGAAACGAGTGCCAGCAAGGCAGGGTTATTGCTTCATGAACCTTGCAGACTAATCAAACTTCCACAAATCCATAGAAACAAAGATCATATTATTCATATCCTGTGCTGCTTATATGCTCTTCCTGATAATAACAAGCAAGACCCTTCCCCTAACACTGTACCTTGTGATTTCATAGAAAACACAGCCAGCGCTCCACATGTCCATTTTGTAGCTGTAGTAGCCGTCTGTAAGCAAGCACTCAGGTGCTCGGTACCAGCGCGTGGATATATATTCTGTGTATGGCTGCTTAGCATATATGCTCCTACACGATCCAAAATCTCCTAACTTGAGGGTACTCTGCTGCAAAAGTAAACAACACATTTTGACAAATTGTAATACACCGAAATACTCAAGCAAAGAATTGTTTTAAATGTGTGAGTAATCATCATAGAGGTAAGCACAGATTACTGGGAGAATACATTTTCAGAAACCTCAGGGCATTACACAGGCATAACAATACACAGTAAAAAATACTTCCATTATAGCAGATGTTTCACTATGGCAGTGTGTAACAGTGAAACTACATTTAAATACAGAGTAGCTCCCAGGCTTGAAGATGTGTCCAATAATTAGCACAAATAGCTTTCTGTACATCATTAAGAGGCAGAACTAAGTTAATTGTAAAACATATGGACAACTACTGAAGGGAAGACTGCCAAGCAGAACATCTGGATATTTTCTTAAAGTTACCGTGCTTAGCAGTGATATAAGAGTTGTTTTTCTTCCTCTCTGCAAAGGTTTTTCGTCTACTCCTCTAAGACTTACAGGAAAACTCTATTGCCAGAAAAATAAAAGTTTATAAATTTAATTTTGAAATCCTCACTCTTCAAGCATTAGCAAAATGGCTCTGAAACTATCACAAAAATAGATTTCAATAAGCAATCACTTGAAAACTAATGTCTTCAGCTCTCTTCTGTATGAATAACTTCCCCTAAGCTTTGAAATAAAATGGAGAAGGAGAGATGCAGAACTGAGCCTTATCACTTGTCTGTAGGATAACACAGAAAGGAAACACATATTCACAGCTGATACAGAGCAGGTTTTTAGACTGGGGTGAACACAGACTAGCAATAATGCAACTGATTCCTTTTAGCCAGCAACAAAATTGCTTTTCATTCTGCTATATCACGAATAAGATAACAGAGCCAAGTGCACATTTATATAAATATTTTTAAACTGTCTCTTTATTTGGGATGATGCATTATGTTCTCAAAGTAGACAGAAAAATACTGATACACTTCACTATCAGCTAAAATATCCTCATAGAAGATTCGTTACCTTTATTAATATGTTTTCTGGTTTCACATCTCTATGAAATATTCCATTTCTGTACCAACATAAAGACACCAAAGAGAACAGTTCAATGAAAGGGTAAACATTATCACTGCTTCTAAATATTTGTAGCAAAAAAAAAAAAAAAAAAGTTTTCTTTATATTTATTGGCAGGACAGTAAAATTATAATAATAGTTTTGCCACCAAGGTGGGACAGCAGTAGCAGCTAGAGGAAAGGAAGGGGAATGGAGGAGGTGCAAGTGCAGGAAGGAGGGTGGAGGCTGCCGCTCGCAAGGGCTGCGCAAGGGGTGCGAGGCCGCTGCAGCAGCAGGGACCTCCGGGGCCTCCTCCCGCGGGGCCTCCTCCCGTGGGCGCTGGCGGCAGCGCCCGGCCCGTCGCGTTCCCGGCCCCGCGGAGGCAGGAGCGGCAGGACAAGGGGTTTTCCCAGCCCGCAGCGCTCTGCTGCCCAGACAGCTGCTATCCCTGCCCAGAGGAGACCCTGAAATGAAGGCTTGATAAGAGTGCTGCAAAGCTGTTGCTGAACGTGGTCTCTTACCTGTGGATATGATCAAGCGATTTGCATAGCTGGTACATGTAGCTTATTATTTTTTTTTCAGGTAAGGGCTTTCTCCTTCCTAGAATTAAATTTCAAGTTGTACAAGTCCCTTTTTGCAAATAATAGAATACAACAGAAGTTCCTCTTTAGCTTCCAATAATACATTGATACCACCTTTCCCAGTTACACTATTCTGTGATTTATAGATAGCTTTATAATCAAATTTCCACTGAAATTAGGACAAAATTTAAATTTCAGTATACACTGGAACTGATCAACTGACACCATTGTCAATTCAATGGCCTATAACCTTCCTTAGCTTTTACTGCCTGCTTTGAAGAGACCCAGAAAGAACACTGCTTCAGACAATTAAGTTTTATTACAGTAATTTGCAATACCTGTTTATTCAACAAAACTGGAATCCAATCTGAACTGGCATATTTCATGTCTAAATGTCTGCTTCCCTCTCTAAACAAAGTAACTGTCCTTAAGGCTCATAACAATCATTTTAACTTAGTGCAACATTTAAATGACTGTGATTCTCATTTTACTTGCAAATCGCAGGTCAACCCATGTAGTTTAACTTGCTATTGCTGCTATGCAATAATAACAGTTATAAAATCAATCTATTTTTCAAACCATTCAAAAACTACTCTTTTTTTTCTTTCATAGGCTCAGAGGCCTCTTAATCTTTCTGTAATGCCTTTATATAATGCTGCAGTGTCATCAACTGAGGCAGAAAGGACCAAGATTTGGAGGAGAAAAAAAAAAAACAAGGCAAGTAGTGATCTGCATGCTGACAGCAGCATGAGTAATTGGCTGGAGAAGAGGCGGGAGATTATCAGGACACTAATGCATTGAGAATGCAAGTCCCAGCAGGCCCCGGGCTCCTAGCTGATCAGGGTGCTCCTGCAGTCCATCACCATAATCCCCCCAGCAGGATTAGAGAACAAGCACTGGAAAGAGAGTACTATGGACATTAGGAATTGTAAATGGTGTTTTCCACAACAGGATTTTTATTTACAATAGAAAAGATAACATTTTGATAATATTTCTCTATTCAAACCAACTCTGACTATTATCGGTATTGAAGGACCAAACACAGGTTCATAATGAAAGACATGGTCCCTACTAAAATGCGAGCACATGCTCTTCTACTTTCAGATATATCATTAGAGAAACTTTATTTGGAAGTAATTAAGTAGTGAAGCACAAGGCGGCAGCACTTGTGGCTGGGGGCAATTTGGTTTAAAGCATCTTCTCCACCTCTCTCCGAGCCTTATTTTTTCATCACTTTCAATGACAAGACTGCTCTCGATTAAACAAAAGGTAGGATTAAATTACTTGTGACACCACTATAAATTAACAGCAACAGAATTATGACTTTGCATAAAGACAAAAAGCCTTAATTGAAAGGCCATGAATCCATCACAGAAATTAAGGAAAAGTCAAAAGGATCAAATTTTGGGGTAACATTACAGTGAACCGTCTTCCAACTACAAAAATGTCTCCATACACCTTGTTAAATTTGGGGTAATGGGTACAAATTGAAACACAGGCAGTTCCCCCTCCATATGAGGAAGAACTTTACTGTGAGGGTGACAGGGCCCTGGAACAGGCTGCCCAGAGAGGTTGTGGAGTCTCCTTCTCTGGAGATCTTCCAAACCCGCCTGGATGCCAACCTGTGCCACGTGCTCTGGGTGTCCCTGCTGGAGCAGGGGGGTTGGATTGGATGATCTCTAGAGGTCCCTTCCAACCTTAACCATTCTGTGATTCTGTGTAATTAATTAGAAATTAATTCTCTATCTGTGTTTTGAGTTTTTCATTACAAAATTTTGTATAAATCATACTAGCTTTAATTTTTTCTGACTTAAGCCTTTTCATAGTTGTTCTGCACCTATATTAAACTTCTTTAAGTTTTATATAACTTTATACACTTTATGTAAGCTTTTTAACTTTTCTATTCAAAATTTCCAGGGTTCATAATATTTGAAAAATGACATGTGTTAGCATTAGCATACAGTGTAGGAGTATACAAGTCTACAAATTATCTGAAATATAAGTAATTTTATACACTCTGCAACCAGTTTTCTGACAGATCATCTATAATACATACAATTCAGTCCTACATCTTAAAATCATAATATGGAAAATTACAAAGGAGCTCCCTCTAATTGAGATCATTGTTCAGATATCGCCAATCAGTAAGTGTTATGGCTCAAAATTGACTTTAATTTTCAATGTAATTACATTATTGGAAATTTTTATTATTTAAAATGACTGACATAAAGCTGTTTGGGAGAGAAAAAGAAACAAACCCAGTAATTCTGCCCCACAGCAAAATGTGGTGTTGACACCTATGTCCACCTTGAAACTCATAAATGAATTTCTGAAAAAGACATTAATTCTAAAATGTTAAACACTTCACACATTCAACTGAAACACTTTAATACTGAGAAAGATCAAAATACTTTGTTTTAACTTGCTTGTTCAACTTGCTTGTTTATCATGGGAAACACAGTCAAATCAAATGCAGCTTGTAAAGAAGAAGCTCTATGGAAATTCAGGTGCACTTAGATTAATGTTTTGATAACTCAGATTACAATTGAACCAACACATCATTTCAAACTGATTCACCATGAAATAACTCTTAAAAAAAAAAAAAAAAAGTTGCAGGACAAATATCTTCCTACAGAAAAGTTAAATTCTAAAGTTAAAGAATAGAGCAGAGCATACTGCTGAGACTACTAGCATACGATGCTTATTTCCATACGATGCTTAATACTGTAGACTTTTCACATAAAATGTGTGAAAGTGAGAGAAACACTGAAAAATGAACACCAACTGAAAGCAAATACTCTGAGAAGAAAAGGACAGTCAAAGTATAAACCCAAACATTTTGATTTTTATAACTGAAATACAGTATCTTTCCTGGAAGAAGCTGCAGGGTCGGCTTTAATGCTCTTATTTACCACCTACGAAGGCTCCTTCCTATATTCTACTACTTCATATCCTTCATAGACTTCGTATCACAAGTTTATCCTGGTACAGTAAAATACCTTATTAAAAACAGCAAATATCCGTGACCACTACTGGGACAACAAGCAGTGTCAGAACAACTGTATTTTAATCTCTATCTAGGTCAGGAAAAGGGTTACTGTCTTTGTTGGAGGTCTCAACACACAATCTCACTCCAAAATTTTAAAAATAGGAGTGTTCCTATATTTAGTCCCCTAAATATAGGGAGTAATGTGATTTTATAGCAAAAACCTAATAAAAGGAATATATATATATATATATATATGCACATATAAATTTGATCTGGTAGTCTTTTCAAAAGAAGCAAATTTCTTGTTGTTTTATTACAGTCCTGACCTAACAAGCAGCCTATTTAAACTGTGCTATTCCTTTTTATATAAGGCAAACAATGTGTTTTGCAATCAGGGTTGTTCCCTTGCTTGCATGTCAGGTTTGACTGTAGAAATAAATGGCCATTGTTCTGACTTGTTAGCAACCTCCTGCATGTACCCCATGCTTAAAAAAATGGGGCATATTGTACTGGAAATACATAACGTGTAAAACAATACAGCACAATTTTTTGCTGTACAATTCATAATATGTAACTGAACTGCCAAGTGAAGAAAAAATCCACTTGTGGTCTTCACAAAAAGAGTTTATATGTTTCTTAAGCATATGCTACATACCTCTTATCAGCTCATAAATATTCATGTCCATTAGTTCACATATCAGTGAAAGAGAGCCAGCTTTTTTATCACTGAAGAAACAAATAAGGAGATTTTAGGCTAGAAATAAAATTTACAGGTTGATTTATAAACAGCATAGAAAAATAATGCTAAGATTAGCTTTATCATCATTAAAAACATTTTCATTTTAATTGATATTTTCTCATAGAAGTTTTTGAACTTAAGATCTGAAGTACCATAGGTTCAGACTATACTATCCAATTGCATAGTACCCACTGCAAAAGTTAACTGCTTTAGTCTGTGAGGCTAACTGAATGCATCTGTTCTGGGTACACCATACTGGTTAAGATCAAGAAATTTCCAGTAAATTAACTGATACACTCTTACAACAAAAGATAGGAAAGTCCTTATACCATGTATGAAAATATTAGTTAAGTCACCAAAACTGTTCTGTTGCATGAAAATGAGTATCTGGTTGGGCTCTACATTTTGTTGACAGTAGCTGCTTTAAGTATTCTCTCGGGTATGTCACTACACCCGACACACTATTTTCCATTTCACAGCCCTGCAGAGGCAGATGTCTTCTGCTCTTTAGCTGTACTTACGAGGGGATAATTCCATTAAAGTACATCCCCTCTGCAATGTTCCATTAACGCAGACAGCAAAGGTTGAGGGTGCAGTCTGCGGTGAGCGCGCGAGCAGGGTGGGCTGGCCGTCTGCATCACGCTCGGTTAGCAACACGGCAGCTGAATCTGAGAACTTCCAGAAAGCTGAGCTGCTGGTGCCATTACCAACTTTTCCACAAAAAAAAAAAAAAAAGCAGTCAACAAGTTGTGTTATGTATTTGGATAATGAACTACATGTCTGTTCTTGAGTGGTGACGGAGTAAAACTCACAACAAAGGAATAAATGCTGTTGAAAACCCGATTTCTTTGTGAGGCAGAACATGTCCTCAAAAGACACTTAAGTGCCTAATGAGGCAGGAAGGAACCCGGCCTCCCCACTGACTGATCTCTGTTCAGATTCCTAGCTCAGCTGCTGCCTAATTTGGCTAGCTCAGCTTCTTCGTTTGAAAAGGGGTACCCGGAAGGGTAGCTACAAAACGATGCTGCTAAATAGCTCGCCTGGACCCACAGTTCACCCTGAGAAATCAAAGCACATTCCTGGAGGCAGAGAGCTGGGCCCGGCGGACAGGATCTGAGCACGCTTAAACAAAATGCGGTCTCTAGTAGACATGAAGTTGTGAGCTGATGGATGTGTGTGTTCATCTGCCTCATTTCTGCTCCTTCTCCAAAACAGACTATTTGACAGTTTGATGGTTAAAGCACGTTTTGGATATGGGAGCTATTGGTCCAAATCACCAGCATGTATTATATTTTATGACAAAAAGCTTCTATGGTTAAAATATCCCTAGACTGTCACGTTAATACTGATGCTGAAGTATTTTTCAGAGTGAGAATAAATGAGAACTACATCAAATCCACTTAACAACAACAACAAAAAAGCATGAAGACTGGAGAATTTGACAAACCTGCTGTTTTTCCTTTCTGTTGGAATAAAAAGCTGGTTAAATCCCCACAGGTTGTCTCTAGACTCAAAAGTTACTAGAAATAAAGGAATTAGGAAAAAGGAAATGAATACACCATACTTACAAAATAACTTCATGTAACATAAGGATATTAGGATGTGGATTCAGCCGCCTTAGTGCTTGTATTTCTCTCAGATTATTCACTTGTTCAATACTAAAGTTGAATTAAAAACAAAAACAAGTGGAAGACTGACATGCAATCAGGGACTGATTGTTTTTTCCTGCCATAAGACTGTCAGAACCCCCTCCACTGTGGTCTCTACCTGAACTCTCAAATAAAGGACCACATAAATTACTTGTCTCCTTAGGGTTTTTTTGTAGAACTCCATAGTTTGGAGAATCTGGCTTTATTCCTTGTAGCAGTCCAGAGTAGCTGGGCTTACCTACACAGGGTAAATAGTAATATATTGTTGATAGGCTACAGAGATCAGTTGGCTTCCCAAAGAAATACCTGGGAGGCATTTTGGGTCTCATAATATGCTGATTCAGTTGATCCTGAGCTGGTTTAGCAAACATACCAACTATTGCTCAACATGATGCCAAAAGTGGCAGTCTAGCATTCCCAAAAATAACATTTAAAAGTAAGTTTTAATGCTAATCCTTTATGCAAGAAATAGACATCATTCAGCTTCTCAGTTTAAATATGATGTTGCCCTTCTAGGTAAACAATAAAATTATATGCTACAGAAACTCTGGAGAGTATAAGTAGTGTTGTACACTATTTAATAAATCAGAACAAGGCATATATGTCCTTTCACAGTCTGACATAAAGCTGGACAAAACACCAAATCTTTATTTTCCGTTTTGAACATAAGATAAATAACTCGTACAGCTACGTTCTGTTTAAAACACTATAATTTCTTGCTAAAATACAGCATTTCACCAGAAGAATGCCAGTCAATTTATCGAAGGGTTAAAAGCCCAAAAGACATTTTAGTGACGCTACATGAAAATAAATGTCTGCTTATGTCCTGCCATTGAACTGTATATCACCTGCCTTTGGTGTAGTTAAACAGTTACTTTAAATACGTTTTTACCATAAATTGGACAAATTTGGTCAGTAGGAGATAAAGTATAAATGGACCAAAAGTTTTCTGTCATACAACAGAGTATCAGTAGTCACGTTCCCTCCAGCTATTTGGGTTTGTTTTATTACTTACAGTATTTTTTTCAAACCTCCGTTTTCCTTAGTCTCTGAAGCTCTGAGTTACATTATGGAATCTCACCTAAGAGCAAAAGGTCCTGTTTCACTTCTTTCTTACAAATGTGTCACTCCCACTGACAGCAATATGGAATTAATACATTTAACTAAGAATACAAAGTCACCAACCCAGAAGGCAGGGCTTGGTGATTAATCTTTTGGAGAACTTCAATGCAAGGCTCCAATTACTTCCACATAGTCCTCTCATCTATTTTTTCAGGTGATAAAAAGTACCTATTTTGCGACTATGTACTCTCTTGCTGATGAATGTGATCAAATATAGTATTAGTTCTACCTTCTACCTGCATTTATAAATGGACTAAGGATAAATGTTTGTTTTTGACTCACATTAAAGCATGAAACTGAAAAAAAATATATATCAAATGGGATGCGGGGAGGTGAGGAGGCATTTAAACATTTCCTCCTGCTTTTAGGTACTGCAGGAAAAAAAAATGCAAGCACATTGAGTGTATGTGGAAAGCAGAAATAAACTATTTAGCCCTCATTCCTCTCTCTTCACATTTGACCCAGTCACTGGCGGCATCTACTCCACTGGGTGGCATCAACTGGAATATTCACTGAAATAACCACAAAACCAAGCAGGAAGTCCCTCCATTTTCTCTTTCTATACTTTATGCAAACTTTTTTTAATACATGTGTATTTAGAAACCTTTAGTTGCAAATTCACATTTCTCTGCTGAATTCAAATAAGATTTCCAGTAAATAGTATCAATAATTATGCATACCTTTCAAAGTGTTGTTTCATATGTTTACATGCATAGTATTTTCCATCCCTAAGATTTAGCATCTTCAGAACATCAGAAAATGTTCCCTCTCCTATCTTACCAACGGGTCTATATTCTAAAAAACAAAAATATGCTGTTTCAGTATGCTTAAAATACACATTTTTATAAACATTCCATATCAATCTGTAACTGAATTGTTAGATTCTGACTCCTGACATATTAAACAAACTAATATTTTTTTTTCTTTTTTGTTAACACATCATTTATTTGAGAGAAAAATAAAGTGAATAAAAGAAAATGGAATTTTGCTGCCCATATTACAGCAATCCACACTACTGGAAATAAAATATAATAATACAATCTTGGAGAATTAACTACTAGCACTGTGCTCAGGGACATGATGCCTCTAGACATAGCACTGAAATAGTACCCTTTTTTTCTGGTGTGACACATTAGCAACTCATAACTAAGTTTAGTCTTCGTCTCTTTCACCAGGAATTCTTTCTATTTGCCTTTCACCAAATGCATACAATTATTTTTAAGTGGAATTATTTTTCCAGTGTGTTTTTTAGCACAGCAGTTACTGATTAAAAAGAATTATTCCCATATTAAATTCAGATATGGGCTTTCAGATGGGGAAGGGAAAAAAAAAGAAAAAAAGTTTTGCTTTTATGTTGAAGCACATGAAATATCAGAAACCAGGATGGGAAGGTCAGTAGATTCTAGTTTCACAGAATTTTAACAGATGAAGCAGATAGCCTAAGGGTTATAAAGGCAGCTCTATTAAATTAATTCCTGCATCTTTTCCTGACTTCTTTCAGAGTTCCTTTTCTTTCCTCTTTTTTGCTCTTTCAGCTCTGTAATTAACTGTTGCTTTACCAATCCCCTTAACTCCCTCTGTCCCCCGCTTTTTCTTTATTTTTAGCACCTACAGCTTCTCTCCTTGATAATTCTTCCACTATTTTCATGTCAGGAAAAGAAAATTCAGGGTAGCTTTACGCTACTGCTGCTTTTGACAAGCCCTTATTATAAAAGAAAGGGATCCAAAAACAGTCATCTTGGGGGAAGCAGAGAAGGAAACCTCTTATCCAACCTTCTCCAGGAGTCAGAACGACTGCAGGAGTCTTGGGCTGCATGGAAGCAGTAAATTCAGTGAAATGCAATTGCTTGGGTTGGTTCCTGTGATAAGACCCTGGCATGGAGCTGGCCTATGCCACCCAGCCCTCCCCTAAGCACCTCACTAGCCTGGCGCAAGGACTCAGGACTTTCTAAGGCTGTTCCTCAAACACAGTTTGTGTCCTATTGACTTTTTTTTTCCTCGGGGCAAGAGAATTTTTTGCAGGATAAGAGAATTTATTAGCAGAGATGTTGGGCCGATTTCTGCCTCAGTGTCAAAAAAACACTTCCAAAGGCGTTTGATTTACAAGTATAAATACAGCCTCAGAGGAGAGAAAATCTGCCTTCTCTGTAGCCAAGAGATTTCACAGAGAAAAGTCACTCAGGCCAATTACATCCAATTACGTCTTTCAAACAGCAACCAACTTGCTTGCCTTCATCTCTTCGCTCCTCTCCAACCTTCAAATTTATTGTTACAATAAAAAAAAATCCCTTTCCTTGTGATCTAAATGCTTATCTGTTGCCTGTATTATGTATATGTATTATAAAACCCCCAAACACTAAGCTTTCCCTATACAATTTCCCCTTTCTCCAACATAGTAGCAGCATTCTGAGAGAGTCTCATCTGCTCTTGTCATTTTTATCATCTACTGCTTACGTTCCTTCTAATCATCAGCTATCATGCTGTTCCTCTGTTGGAAACATTCTTGTCTCCCAGACTGTCTTTAAAGCTCGATCTCTCCAGAAATTCAAATATCCTGCTCATTTTGTATACATGTTTTCCCTTTCTTTCCCTTGAACTGACAAACTGGGCGATCTAAATTAGAAATATAGGAAAAGCAGAGCAATTTGTAAACCGTGACACTGTCAAGTGATCTCTATGAAGAAGGATACATATGAACTGTTTTAAAAATAGAAACAAAATTTGAAAATCGTTACGGGTATAGGAGTAGATGCTCCAAAACAGGGAGGAGACCATGATATTCTTTAATGGCGATTGTTGTTCAAGAAATGTGGTCACTTGATGGCACAAACAAGGTGATCCCTAACCTTTACGTGCTCAGTAACGCTGCTTAGTGATGATTAATGTGCTTTGCTGGCAAGACCACATTTTGCACTGTTTCCTTTACCCCTCCTCCATTTAATTTTCTATTTAAATAACTAGCTATAAGCTGGAGATCATAAATTAAGAATACTTAAATCCCTCTCAGAGCTCTAAGGAAAAATTGTCAAAAGTATTTTTTTTGGTAGCAACTGCCACATCAGTCACATACACATTGACAATGCTGTACGTTCACAAAATGTCAGAGCCATTTTCTGTGGCAAAAATATCTAAGGCCACTACAAAAACAATAGCTCTTTCCTGACCTAGTAGACTCTAATAAACAGTAACGGTATTATTTTGTATTTTTCTTAAATGCAAGCAATTGATTCTCTGGCATTAAAAAAAAGGAAAGATGAATTGAAAAAAAAAAAAAGAATTTCTACAGCCTTATGTGTTAAAGATTCAAAGTACTTAGGCAATGAAACACAGGTAAAGCATTACTTTATAAATTTATTTAAAGTATCAAGAAATATATAAATAGAAATCAGATAGGATATGCTTAATTTCTTGCTTATATTTTCACCTATACATTTTTTTTCCTAAAGCAAAGCCCACATTGCTGTGGAGGGCTCACAAGCATTTCTTTTCACTGAAGAGTTCTAATAGCATAAGAAGAGTTAGCTTTTTATTCGTTTTGAAACATTCTTACAGAACTAAAATATTTTTCCATGTAAACAGTGAATGGTATAGTATCTTAATCTTTACAAAAGTAATCTAGTCATACACACACACAAATATACATATAGCTAACACCTGAGGCTTTGACTTGGCAAAAACTTCCAAAAAAACTTCTTTCTGAGGTATAAAAATCAATATGTAAACTCTCAACAAAACATGACAGGCCACTGCAGATGAGAGACCTTTTCTCCTAGGGAGAAAATGAGAGAATGAACATGTCAAGGTTAGTTACTGCTTAATGCAATACTGAAAGGAACTCAGATATTCTAAAGATAACAGTGTAACCATTTATATAAAGAGAAAATATTTAAACTCAAAGTGTATTAACAATTTGAAGCAAATTTTGAATTTGTGTTCACAAGCAAAAAGACAGCGACTCAGTAAGAAACACAAAAGTTCTACTGACTTCGAACACACACTGAAAGAGAAAAAATAGGTTAAAGCATTTCAATTTTAAGCAATGAAATGAAGCTTACTGCATCTATGAAACAAAGCTAATCACCAGCCAGTTTATACCTGAATTTGTGATAATCTCAGGTGAACAATGATAGAAGTTTTAAAAATATTATGAACATTTCAAGAGTGAAACTTCTGAGGCAGGAATGGAAGAGTAAAAAATGTCTTAGTTGTATATAACACTGAAGAATAAAGTCTAAGCCCAGTTGGTGGTTCTTTCGTGGCACCTCTACCAGGCTAGATACCCATCCTACTATTTATCCTCTTCCCTCTTTCCTCTTGTTTCCAGCATTCATAGATGTTCAGATCTCCCAACAGTACAGTTTAATGTGAAACAGACTGCAGGACTGAGGAAATTAGCAACAATAGAAAATGAATTTATGGGCACGCTTTATTTGGAAAGCACAGAAAATCACTTGGAATTTGGAATTAAAGAAATGAATGAAGAAAAAAAAACAGGAAAAGTTCTGGAAAAAAAAAAAGGATAACATTTTGTTGGGAGGATGCCCACGTGCCAAGGAAGAAAAAGGCACGGCATGTGCATATATCAAAGGTACACGTGGGAAGCGAGGAAAACCAAAACAACTCAAGAGCTCAGCAGAACACACTGAGCGCCTGAGGTGCAGTATGAAACGTGTGGAAAAGGAGTGCACGCAGGGGAAGGGCTTACAAACCACGCGAAGAATGACAGAAGATAGGAGGTTCCGATCAAGTAGTGGGGAGAGCTGGGAGACAAAGAAGCTGCTGATTCACGGGACCGGAGGGAGACTTGTTCGCACCCTGCTGAGGACGAGGACAAGGGAAGAGAAGGGCCCAGGGCTCGCTGGGCACCGCCGGCCCCTCACCCCCTTTCAGCATGGACCCTCTGCCCGCAGCTCCGCGCAGAGCCCGCTGCCCCGCCGTCCCCACTCTTACTGTTCATCCTGGGCTCTCCTGCAGGTCTCCCGGGGCGGGCGAGAAGGCGGCCGGGCCTCCGTTGAGCGCCGGGCGCCTCCCGGCCGAGCCCTCAGGCCGCCATGTTGTGTCCCCGTCGCCCTGGCAACCGCGCAAGCTCCCGCTCCCCTCGTGGAAGCCCCCCCCCAACGTCAGGGGGGCGGCGCAAGCGCTTTTTTTTGCATCCGCGGGGATGGCCGCGTCCGTTGGCCAGCGGCGCCGTTGATGGCGGGTGGTGCCGGTTTTTCCTCTCGCAGCTCCGTGCGTGTCTGGTCGCTTCTGCCAAGCGAGTTTTCTCCGCATGGTCGGCTTGTCCTTTTGTCCGCGGATGAGGATGTTGAGCCTCGCGCCTGTGAGGAATGAATGTGTGCGGCCCTGGGCTCTTCCTGATAAATGCGCTATGAGGACGGGGGCGACGGCGGTGGTTCTGGTCCCTGCGGCCGTCGGTTTTTCCTCATGCTGCCTGTGCAGGTGGCGGCTCCTCGGGCCCCGCAGGCCGAGACGAACGGGGTTTATCTCTGATGGTCGCCTGCTCTCTAGCGGCGCCCGCGAGCTTCGGCGCCACAATCGCTTAAAAACTCGCGGTAGAAAGGGGAGCTTCCCCCAGGTGGTTGGGACAAGGACCATGTGGAAGGCACGCGGCAGTGGTTTTAATAGCATCATGTCTCTTGAAACACCCAGCCTCTACCAAGCTCAGTGCCTCTATGCTCCCCAATACAGGTGTTTGGAGGAACGTTGTAGGGACCATCCTGAAATACAACACAGAAAGATGTTACTACTGATGCGAAAAGAAGGAGCTGCAAGTACTAGGGAGATCTTAAATCCCAGATACATCCCAGTGGAGTTTAAGAAGCATGTGAGTTGAGGCTTACATGACTAATGATAAAAGAGCACAAAATTAGCACCAGTTACAGTTTTCAGTTTCTCCAGTTCCTTATGTGGATTTTTCTAGAAGCCATACAGCCCTGTGTTACCTCCAGATAATACTGTTTAACTTCTATATTCTTCTAAGTTGCACAGATTTGAATGAGGAAATCACTTGTGCAATTGCTTCTAAAGTTTTTACAGAACATTACTGTTACTTTATACATTGGATTTTTGACAGTTGTCAAAATATCCGGCATGTTACCGTCCCATCATGTAGCAGTATATTGTGACATGCTGATGTGCTGCCGTGTTGCACCCTGGTGGTTTTTGATTCCTCTATCGACAGGCAGTCTCAGGTGATTAGCTATTACTCTTCACTGCCTCGCGCGTGCTGCGTTCTGGTGTGTGATGGCGCTGCAGGCTGAGCGCTTTCTCCTCCGGCTTCGCCGCGCCGCTGTCCGGCGCTGCGGCGACAGCGGGGACCTGCCGTCCCGCACCGTTCGCGCGGGCGCACGCAGGGCCTGGCCCTGGGGTTATATGGCGGACGGAAGAAACGTGTTTGCAACTGGCCGGTTAGCTCAGTTGGTTAGAGCGTGGTGCTAATAACGCCAAGGTCGCGGGTTCGATCCCCGTACGGGCCACTTGTCTTTTCTTTTTCCCCCACTATCGTGAATGAACGAACTCTGCGCTTTACGGCTCCAAATCTATATTTTATCCAGGCGAGAAGCGGATCGCAGCTGTTACACACCGCGGCGCGCCGGGCTGTCAGCGACGAGCGACACGCGTTGCCGCGCGGCTCGGGGCCCGAGACCTTTTGCCCCTGCGAGGCCGCCGTCGCTAGCCCCGCCCCATGAAGCGGGCGGGCCGGGGCGCCATTGGCTCGCGCGCCGCGGGCACCGCCGCCTCGGGCCCTCCCGGTGGGGAGGGGGGTGCGCGGC